AGATTGTAACAATGTTTTCTTTTGTGTCTCTAAAGTACAGTCAGCTTGAATAATAATTTATTAGTTCGTAATATTAGTAAACTAGGAGGTTACAAATTACAGATTGTAACAATGTTTTTTTTTTGACAATTTTGTAATTTAGTAAATTAGCGAGATTTGTATTGATGATGTTAACAATCAAGAGAATCACAAGTTATAGATAATTTCGTAATTTTCATAAATAATCGTCATAATTAAGAAATTTGTAAAGTTCACTCGTGAAACTTCAACATCGTTTCGCTGTTAAATTTTGAATTATTTTTCTGAGGGTGTTTATAGTTTGTTTTATTTACTTGTGTTGTTTACTCGCAATATCTATTAATAACTGCACAACTTTCGACTTGTGACTCGTGAAATTCCGTTAATAATGTTGGCAATCAGTTTTGTTTTTGCTCTTCAGCTCAAATGAAATTAATTAGTAATAACGATGTTCCGCGAGTAAGTAGTACAAACCAATTTTGGTCAGGCCGCATTGATATTTCAGGAAAGATGTCAAAGAGATTACATTGTCATTGGTATGGAGGAAATATCGAAGTAATGAGCACGAGCAATACAAATTATATGCATATCAACAATTTAACTAATTGATAATTAAATGGAACTGTGATATTTGTAAAAAGCGTATAGGTTGTTGTGTCATGCAATGCCACCATGTAATGACATTATACACGTAATATAACGCTGTATAACAGTATTTTGATGCAACGAGTGTCGATATTTCCAATAAATTTCGTTTTATCGTTTGATTGAATTTACTTGACTGTGGTATATTGACAATATGATGTTTGTCAAAATACAAACGACTGAATCTACATAATCTTTCTCTCTTTCTCTTGATTCTTCTTTTTCTTCTTCTGCCTCCGCAACTCTAATTTGATCAGGCTTGAACGATCAAAGTCATTCTGAACTATGGACAGAGATCTGGACAATGGAGATTTTAAATTTTCAATGTTTCGATTTTGAACAGAAAGCACGCACACACAAAGACGATAATCAAACGAGTCACGCACGAACGCACCAAGAAAACCTAATTCAATTAGCCGGTTTAACTCGATTATTGAATCGAGTCGTGCGTTTCTATTTATACACAGTCTAATTCGTTCGCCACGAGTTCCGTCGTACAATTCAATTTTACTCGAAACTCGAATTAACGTCTGCCGACGTTCGAACTGATCGAATTTCAGCTCGATCAAATTTATCAATTAAACTGTCCAACAGTTCGTTCTAATTTCCTACTCGTTTCCCTTTCTTTTTCCCTTCTTTCTATCCTTTCTGTTTCCAGCTTCCTGGCGATGTATGCTTTTCTTTTCTTTCGAATAAATTACGATCTCATCCATTCTATTAACAAATATTCTTACGTATCCAGTTTCTGCAGAATTTCCTGTAGCGTAGTAGTCAAAATAATTGTCCCTCTGTGACAGAGAGTTTCTTTTTAATAAATTTGCACGTGTATCATAGTTTAGAGCCACAGATCAAAGGGTTAAATTGATTTCAGATTAACTTCGACGATACTTTCAGACATTTGTTCGTCAAGTTAGAAAACTTCTCATTAAAAATTCAAACTTTAATTTAACACCGATATCGATTGCATTGACATGCCACGCACGTCGAGAATTTTTTGTCCCAAGTTTTCTCAGTTTCAATGTAACTCAGGTGAAACAAATATGATAAGTTGATTACTTCTCAATAATTTCTATCCAGTGATATCGAGTTCAAAAGAAAAAGAAAGCGACGAATTATTGTGTACGGGTTATAGTCCGCGAACCAGTTGCCAGCGCAAGGGATTAATGTTAATCTAACTCCTGTCAAAATTTCACTTAGGATCCAAAGAAATATAGGCGCGAAACAGAGGGGGTCAATCAATTTGCCACGATTCATCCGCGTTTTCGGCGGGGAGAGAAGCAGAACTAGACGCGCGGCGGGGAGATCTTGATTTTCATATTCGACTCGCTAATTAATCCCGGGACGGATTCATAAAAATTCAGAGGGCGAGTTTACACGGGGCGTTCGAATGAATTTCACACGGCGATATCCCCGCGACAGTTCGCGACACCTACCCCGATAGAGCAGACGGTGGCAAAAAATTTTTGATAAATGATACGGCTGCGAGTGACGCGCCGGCAACGCGCGCCTGAGTATTCCCCGCGCCCCCGTTTTCTTTCTTTTTTCCCTCCCCTCGCCCCCCTCGCCCCCCCATTCGACACGAATAATTCCGATCCGCTTCGAAGACATTAAAGCGTATTCATGGGGCGACGGCCTCCGGCATTTGCATATGAAAAAAACAAGCACGCCAACGGAACATCCAGGGAAATCAAGCTCGATTTTAAACGTTTCCTCTATTTCTATATAGAGGAAGCAAAGAGAGAGAGAGAGAGAGAGAGAGAGAGAGAGAGAGAGAGAGAGAGGAGGGGGAAGAGAAGGTTGGGTTATTCGAGTCGCGCTCTCAAGCTTCGACATCTTGAAATTCAATCTTCAATTTCGCGTCGAACCCTGTTGTTTCGTTGGCTCGCGAAAATTGTTCTCAACGTCCGTGGATCATTTCTACGAATGCGAGCGACGAATAAGAATTATATTATGATCCATAGTTAGTTCGAAAGAAAACTCGAAGTCTTGAAATTCGTGTGTCGAACTTTCAGTCCGAGAATTACAACAGTGTTTATTTACAGTAAAATTATTTAGAAAAAGACTAGTAATGTGAACAGCGATTTTGAATCTATGGTAAATGTTATTTTAATAAGTGCTGAAGATCTCCACAGGTCCATTCAAATGTATATAACGCATAATATTGAGACTGTATTTATCCATTACCAAAATATAAACCTCTTCCCAGCAAAGAAATCAAAATGAAAAAAAATAGATATGTATGTGTGAAAGTATATATATATATATCCAGACGCTTTATTTTAAAATTTATTCAAATCTCCAAAAATAAATGAATAAATAAACTCATGGATACCTGCATCAATATAATTGTTTGAAACTTTGTCAATGAGACAAACATAAGTCACAAAACGTTCATGAAAATGTTTATAAAAGTTCAAAATTTCTCATTTAACACAGGTGATAAATTGTTCGAATAGTTTTTAACTCGAGTAATCTTGGCCCAAGACTTTTTGATTTTGCCCCGATGGTTAACCAGTATCCGATGGATTACTTACACGAAAATCAACATGGGATACTTGGTGGCGCCCGACAGATCAGCATTCGGTGGAATCAGTAGTCTGACACGGGCCTCGAATCCACCGGGAACCGGCACCTTGTAACGCCTCACCACCGGTTGCGATTTCTCCGCGATAATCTCGGCGACCGCGTCGTTCTCCTCCCATGCCAGCAGCTTCGAGGAATTCTGAAAGCCATGAAAATGTGACAAACGAAAATGTGTTCCAGTTACAGTTCAGATAAAACAGCGAAAATTTCAGATTCATTATATTTTCACCATATCTTGTATTATTTCAATTTTACGAGTTACTGGAAATTATAAAAATTCAGGAAATTACTTAATTACCAAAAAAGTATTATTTCAATTTTACGAGTTACTGGAAATTATAAAAATTCAGGAAATTATTTAATTACCAAAAAAGCCTTATCTTGTATTATTTCAATTTTACGAGTTACTGGAGATTATGAAAATTTAGAGTTAACACAGGCTTGGAATTCTTAATTTGATTTATATTTTATTGTCACAAGAGCGTTACCGATTGTTAGTTCCAATATCAGTGTCGAATTCTATTAATCTTGCTTGGACGTGTGTTTAAAGACGAAGGAATTTATTCTACTTGTTAAGAGAAAGAAGCGAGAAAGAACCCAATGCTAGTGTACAAAGGAGACTTGATATTACACCGACATCTTGTTGATCCTTCCTGTAGGTACAGCACGCAATTTCCTTAGAATTGTTTCGTTATTTCGTTTCAGGATCTTTGCAAAGAAAATTTATAAATATCCTGAATATCCTTTATAAACACGTTAATAACCAAATGAAATGAAAGAATTTCATTCACTTAAGAAGAACGCGTAAATTTTTCGAATAAACTGTGAGTCTCATTTTGAATACACACTATACACGTAGATTCATTTGGAAAGTATGAGAAAAAAGATCTGAACGAAGAGAATCGTAACAAATGCAATTTGCTTGAAAAATTATTCTAAAAATGATTACGATAATCATCCTCGGCGAATCAATACATTCCTTCTCTCAATAAAAAAAAAAAAAAAAAAAAGATATCTCAACAGAGTTGTAAAGTAACGTCAGGAGAAAGAATCACTCTCTGTTCTCATTTTATTTCTAAAAGCCAAAGTGCAATATTTTCCACTTCGTGGATGGCCCGAAGGTTTCTGCTTTCATCGCTTTCCAACGCATTACAACTTGTCGGCGATTCTCGGTTCACGATCGGACTCGAATATTTATCGAAACAGTAGGTGGAAAAACCTTACTACTCGGGGCAAGGAAAACAGTGGCGTCTGAGTTTCAATCGATACCGAAAAGCTCGTCTCGCTTTACTCCCCGAGGACCTCCCACCGAACTTGGACCCTTTTAATTCATCCTTATTTTACTACACGGCGCCACCCTCTGGCACCAGAAGGATTCTCCACGGTGATTCCTATTCCGTGAACTTCTCGCTTACCCATCGATTCTTACACACGCACACACATACACACCGCCTCGATCTACCATTTACCGTCTTTGATAGAATCTGCTAAGTAGTTAGCCCGCTAGCTTGGCTTCGCCGATTCCCTCTCTTTCCCCGCCCCTCCCCCTTCGTTTTTTCCTCCGCCACGTTTTCCTTTTTACGAACTCGAGGAATTCTCGAGGAATTATTCCAACGGAGAGTATATATCTTGCGAGGAATGGAGGAAGGAAATACTTTGTTCCTCTCCGATTCGCGGCTCGCCAAATACTCAGGAATTTGCGCGTTTTGTAGATTAATCTGTTAATTCGGCCAATGCCATTCACTGACGAGGAATTTGTTACAGAAACGAAGACTATAAGATTATAATATTTTCTATAAGATTATGAGATAGAATAATTTCTATAATTTGTTATAGAAACGAAAGTTATAAGATATAATAATTTCTATAATTTGTTATACAAACGAAAGTTAGAAGATATAATAATTTCTATAATTTGTTATACAAACGAAAGTTAGAAGATATAATAATTTCTATAATTTGTATAGAAATGAAGATTATAAGATTATACAATATAGAGGCAGGTTAACTTCAATTTGAAATACCGTATACAGGTTCTTATGAATGGGATTTGTCTCAAAAATTTGATGATTTGCTCCAAAATGTGAAAAATTGAAGGGAATACAAGGAACGAATCAAAAAGAGAGAAAAGAGATGGTGTAAAAGAAGCTAGAATGGATTATTTATTTGTGAAATTCACGTTGAAGTTAGTTTGAATTGGTCAAAGAATATATATTCATATATCTATTACTTGAAAATTTTATTCTATACTTCCATCAAATTTTTCTTCCGAAATTACGAGGATCACTTTAGCTATTAATTGTCAACTATTCATCCCGAACGTTTCACGGAAATGATAAGAGGCGTCTGAAAATTCGTCACAGTCGGTCGTTTCAACCCTTATCGCGACGCGTTCGAAGTCGAAGGCTTTGGTACCAGCGACCTTGCGAACAGATGGTGCAACTTTCAAGCCAACGATAGAGATCAACGTCGGCCGCGATGCTCTCGCAATATAACGAGTTGAATTCAATGTATTATTCCGTTCGTTTAATCCGGACGCAGCGACTTAGTTATCCAACGCTCCGACGCGATTCATAGATAATTTACAAATCGTCCGCGCGGAATTACACTTTGGTGCATTAGTTAATAGGATCGTTCTGATTTCCCCGTCTTTGGTATCCGATTAAAATTTTATTCAAATCCCCCTGGTGGCACCACGCGAGTTAAACACGAGGACGCAGGAGATTACAATTTGCATCTGCCTCGTTGCCTTTACACTTCCCTCCATTATCCCCGCGAACGTAAGAACCTAAGAATATTTTAAATTCGAATTCCCAGCTCTTCGCTTTTCTTTTTCTTTTTATTTATTCTTTTGAATTTTCTCGCAATTTTCGCGTTGACAGGCGGAACGAGCTTACGACGTTTGAAAAAAACCGGAAATGAAATTCAGGTAAATAAGCGTAACGAAATTAACATAGAGTGTTACACAGTTGGGACGACAAGAGCATAATTAAATACGAACTCTCCAGAAATCTAACAAATTGATCAATCATCCTCAATTTATTTCCATTAGTGTTCCCTCCTTTCCTGCGTTCGTCTCGCATCCCTTCAGTCTATATATCTTTTCCATCTCTCACTTTCTCTTTCTACAAATTTCGCTCTCCGTTTCGGTCGTTTATCTTGACTTTCGCCTCTTCCTCTCTATTTCCTCCGTATCTAATTAGACATCACTTAACGTAATTAAACTGGCAAATAAAATCACCGCGAATATCGTCCAATTTCTATTTTCGTTTCCTACAGAACGGGGCTGTTCAGTTCTCCTCTACGTTTCACCACGCATCGCATTATTTTCCTAAAAAGAGATTTCAACTCGAGTGAAACTCAAGTAGCTATCTTAATTAATTGAGTAAATCATTCAGTGGCAGAACAGCGTCGATTTAATAACTGGATCGTGGATTGGACTGGAGCTAGAGAACGCTGAGTTGACAAGTGAAACAATTCTTTATAAATACTCTTCGATTTTTATTTTTACTTTCCACGAAACGAGAGATTTTAGTTACTCTCCGCGGTGGAATAGAACACAAATCGCGTCGTTTTTCTTCGAAAAAGAAAACTTCCAACGACGCTATATAAATTTCCAAGTAGCTGTCATAAATCATTCGATGGCAGAACAGCGTCAGACTAATCGCTGGATCGTGAATTTTTATACGCGTTTATGGGAAATTCGAAGCTGCAAAAATACACACAGTCTATTACCGTTGTCGTTTACTCGACAAGTAAAGTCATTTTCCAGTTAATCTTCATTCAGCGATCACACCCGTCGCTTTTTTACGATCCTAAAAAAAAAAAAAGAAAAAGAAAAAAAAATCTGTCGTCGTTGAAAGGCTACGATAACTGAGTTATTCATCACGGACCGCCGATAAGCGACAAAGCGTCGCCGCGCCATTAAATTCGCCGCCGTGAAATTCATTCGCGAGATCGTTCAACGTATCGCAAAAACCACCTCTCCCCCCCTCCCCATCCCCTCCCCTCGTCGTTTGCGTTATCGAGTCCGCCGAGCTCCAACACCCTTCAAAATTCCATTCTTATCGGCCCACTTATCACGTCGCCCTTGTACAATCGCTCGTCGATTCAACGTCAGTGAGCAAAGTGTTTCCTCCGCCTGTCCGCCATGATTGTTCGCCAACGGGCAAGCAAGAACGGAATACTTCCGTTCGCTGACTTCTCCTCCAAAGGAAATTAGTCCCTTCGACTAGTCTGAAGCGTTTGTCCGAAGCGACGAAAGCCAATTATCGGTTGTAATCGTGCCGCTGCGACAAGCCAAATACTTCGAATCTCCCTCATCGCCCTTCTTCTTCTTCTTCTTCTTGTTTTTCTCTCTCCACCTCTTCGTCCTTTTTCATGCTCGTTTTTATCGATCAAGACAAACGCCATCCATCCCGCGACGCGACGTCTATCCAGAGCGATAATCTAATTAAGAGCTTGACGATAATTGATGCTTCCCTCGCGAGGGAACGCCTTTCATCGTCTCTTAATGGGAGAGAATCTCGTGCCCGAGCGTGAGAAATTTGTTGGAAATTACAGTACGTCTATGTAGCACGTCGATGGCTGTTAATTGTTTAATTAAGATTGTATTTATTAAACGATGTTACGTGAAGGAAATTGGGAAATTGGAGAATCCTCGAAGTTTTATCACGCATTGGAAAATTTCTTTAAAGTTTCTGCAAGTTAATTAATTAAGGGTCGATTGGTATTGTTGACCCATTGGGGATAATGAAAATTTGAGTAACAAGCTTTGCGATCTTTAATTTGATTTAACCTCATTACCAACTTGCATCGTGCCGAGTGTTAAAGAATTCATTGTCGAAAAGTTAAGATTCCGAAATTTCTGAAGAAAATTGCAAATCACAAAATTCTACTACCAGTTGGAAGTAAAATCTGCTTTCTTCCATGTGCTTTATGAACAATCAAAGTCACTGACAGTTATAACATTTTAATAAAAAGTAATTGCCTAAAAGCGATCGTGAGTTTTTTTTAAAAAATTAGTTATTCTCTTCGAGACTGAAATCGAAATTCAGAGGAACTAAATTGACGCATGCGTCTCGGACAGTTTGGAACGAGGATTCGAATCGAACGTGAAAACTTGAAGGGGAAACGAGGCTGTTTACCGCGAAGCGTGACGCCTTCGAGGAAATGCAAAAGAGAGAAAGAGAGAGAGAGCACGAGAAAGTTTCTGTTTGACCTATTAGAGATGAAGATGTATCGAAAGTTGATAAGTAAGGGTTTTGGAAGTGTTCGGAAGTGTGTAAGTTGAAGGGTTGGATTCGCGAGGCGCGAGGAAACCTTCTCTGGTTCTACACACACAAACACACAGATGCAACTTGCATCGTTGGAGTACAGGCGATAGTTGCCAGGGGAAATTCGGGCTGTAATACTTGCGAACTTGAGTTCAATTGATACTTTGGGATGTAATCAGACGTCGACATCTTTTATGCAAAGGCAACGTTTGCCGTGTCAAGGGCCGAGAAAATATAAAATCGTCAAGCGAAGAACAATAAAGCGATGAAAAATAAAGCACACGCGATATCATTTATGCATCGAGATAAAATTCAATGAAAACTAAAACACACACGCGTTATAATAAAAAAAAAAAGAAGGAAAAAACAAGAAAACGAAATGAAATACGTGTCGGACGTGGAAATTAATTTGATGTCTTCGTATTGAATTCGTTTTGAATTTAAATGCTCCATCACCGGTGATAGAACGTGCGTCGTGTTTCGTAATATTATTTCCAAATTTATAAAATAATTCGAACGACAGCGGCGCGTATCATTTGGGATTGGTAAGTAATGAAATAACAAAAATAAAGCGACGAGAAACACCCAAACCTGGGGCAAAAATTTACGCGACAACTGAACCAAAGAACTAAAAGAAAATCGGGAAATCCGATAATTTCCTCGTTTGAGCAAACGAGGTAACTGTAGAACTTATCCAGAGGCAAAAGCGGATCAATTAACGCGCAAGAGAATCATCTAAATTAATTTCCACGTTGGTGAATAAATACGGATATGCATGAACTAAAAATCGTAGAGAGAGAGAGGGGGAGAGAGAGGGGGAGAGAGAGGGAGAGAGAGAGAGTATCGATTTGGAATAACGCGGCGACGCCATTATGCATGCATGTAATCGTTGTCAGACATCGAAACTCGTGTACGCGCGATCACGGAGATGGAACAAAATGGTTGAGCCGGGTTTCGGATCGTGTTTACCTGATTTGTTAAACAGCGGGAAAATTTATTTAATTCGACCAGCTGATAACGGTGTATCGCGTTTGTCTCCCTCGTAGCAAATCGTTCGACAGAGAGAGAGAGAGAGAGAGAGGGGGGGGGGAAGAGAGGATTTCCGGCGATTTGTGAAACGATTATAAAGCACATAACCTGATTGTTTAATACTCGGGCTCGTATTCTCTGTTGTTCGCGATACAGTTAAACGCGATAATTTCGAAATTCATTGAATAACGCCGGGCCCCCGGGCGTTTCGTTCGTCCGTGCTTCTCTTCCTAGTTCTTCCTTTATTACGATATTTCCCGAGCATACAATTGAATTTTAATACCCTCGTGGAAATTTTCAGAGTAGGAGCTAGAGAGGAGAAGTAGAAAAACAGAAAGAAGAATGTGTGTGTGTGTGTGAGAGAGAGAGAGAGAGTGAAAGAGGACGCTTCGCGATGGAGCAAAAGACGGCCGAGATAGCCAGTTCAAACGGAGGAGAGATTAAGAAATTAAATTAAAATTCGATTGGAAAGTTGAACGAGAACACTTGTGGGGGGGAATGAGAAGCTGGCGATGGTGAAACAAAACTGTGGCCAATGGTAACTTCAATTTTCGCTTTGAATATTTCCAAATAAACTTTCTACACTTTTAAATATGCTCGGAGAAGATGAAACCAACGGCGAGAGAGGGGAGAAGGGGGGAGGGGGCTGAGATAAAAGCCGCGTGCACCGGGGTTATGGAAATTAAGAAATTAAATTGAAATTAGATCGGCGGAGTTTCATTCCGAGACAAACTTCCTATCCTTCGTCGAAAGGAAACAGATCGTCGAAACAAAAACCCATCGGGGGGAAAACGTAAGGAAACGTAAATGAAAGGAAAGTTGATGATTAAAATTCGTAACGAGATTGGACGTAGAAATGGAAATCAATTTCGTTTTTTCAATATCCTCTTGCGATACAGTGTAGGAAGAGAGAGACGAATTTTCGCGGGAGGGATAAAATAGGCAAAAAAGATTAACAAATTAAACGGAATCAAAGAAAGTTCATTCAGGAAGAATGTTAATTCATTCAATCAGATTGAATTTAATTGTATTAAATTGCAGGGCAAATGCTAAAGGAAGGGGAAGAAAAAAAAATAGATAGAAGATCAAGTGGAATTCCAAAAAGCATATACAGTATAACTTTAAATCTGTTTCATTCAATCGTGCATAGTTAAATTCTACTCTACTATTAAAAGCACTTGATTCGAAAAATGAATCGAAACGAAACTTCTCGCGAAAAGTATATAAAAAAAAAAAAATAAAAAAGAAAATCCCAAGATAGAAACTAAACTGAAGAAATCATCGGTCAGAAATTTGAACAACCGAGTTCCAGTGTATTTTTCATAATATTTCCCGAATAAATCCCAATGACAGCGGCACCGGCTGGAGACCGTTTGAAGGCAGATCGTTTGAATAAAGCTCGCCAGGCTGGAATTCTGCGAGGGGATGCGAGAATGCGGTAAAGAAGGTTTTAGTCACGGGGCGTTGGAAATTCGGGTTATCGAGGGAGCCAGATAGTCAAGTCGTTGGATTTGCCCGCGCGTCTAAATCTGTCGCGTCTATTCGACTCGTTCTCCCACGAGGAGGAGCACCTTCCCTGACAATAAGCGCGGACATAAAACATAGATAGAGGACCGTCGAGGTCGCTCGAGCACCGCCGCCGCTTTCCGGGACACTGACAAATCATACGGCCCATGGAGGATCGGCGATTTATCGGTGACCGTTGCTTATGCATCCGTATAACCTTCCACATCGTGTCCCCTCCTGATTCTTTCGCGTTCGATCGCCTCGATCTCAATCACATACGTATTTCGACCAAGGTTTGTTCATCTTTCGTTTCGCGTTGTAATTTGATAATATTGAAATCGAGATCTTTGCGTTCCACACACACACACACACACGTCGTACTTATTTAACAATTAATATTTCTTATTTATATCTTTCCAAATCTTTCTTCTTTGCCTGCGTTCTGCGAACTGACAGTTACTTTTAACACGGAAAAAGCTATGTATTGGCCGCAGGATTCATTCAAGGGACTGAAATGGAACGCAAGAAACTCGTAGATTGACAATTCACTTCGTAAGTTGCAGATAATGTAATTTCGGCGATGGAAATCAGCTCCTGTACAAGGCCAACCCTCTTAACGTCAGCGCACATACTTTGCCGAGCGGCAAGAAACGCTCAGAACGATGTCACGATGTCATTTGTGAAGGCACGATAACGAACGATGCTCAAGACACGTTGCACATTCGATTACAGTGAGATTTCTGAAGAACAACTACTATCAATATCAATGTTAGATTGTTCAGAATATTTCTTTTGCAAGAATGCAAATTAATTCAGACAAGTTTCGATTTCTTCAATCTCCTTCAATTCTACCCGCTGAAGTATTTGCGTGGCCATTATTTTTTTAAATTCTCCAATTATTAGTTGAAAGCTATTTTCTTTCCTAACTTAGGAAATAAAATAGAACAGCGAAACAGAAAGAGAGAGAGAGAGAGAGAGAGAGAGAGAGAGAGAGAGAGATGCGGAAAATCTCGCATATAACGATCGATTAGTTTCGAAAGGGACAGGGATAATTGAAAGTTGTAGCAGTTCCGGCTTTCACTTTTCGAGGGATTTTTCTCGTTTTCCTTTCTTTCTTTTTTGCGCGAACTGATGCGAAACATGTCAGCCAGTTCGTTTACTCAACAGAGCCGAAGGCTCTGCTGCCACTGGGAAACGACGAAATACATACATTTGCGTGAGTTATAGAGATGCATATGTCGCACGTTTGGGATTAAAATTCGTCGAATCTATGGCAAATAGATTCTCGCGAGCGGTGTCGGAACGGCAGGCACGAGACTTTCCGGGGTTTCGGATAGAATATCACTGGTGAAATACGTCTGCCAATTTCGCCGAGGCGTGAAAGCAAGACTGAAATATCAAGTGAAATTCGAAAAGAACCGTTCAACTATTGACGTTTTATTATCGAGAGAAACTCCCCGGCTCTTCGAATGTGCATCTCGATTCGTCCTTTGACGTCAGGATTAGACTTAAAAAAAAAAAAAAAAAATGGCACCTTTATGCGCACGTTCTTTTCTCAGGCAACGACTGATGGTAATATTTGACGAATAAAATAAACCTGCATTTGGAGTCAATTTCTTTAATTGCAGTGACGTGTTGCGCAGGTGTTTCTCAAATTTCTTGTAATAGGAATTTCTGAAATTTCTTTCGGAATTTACTAAATTTAATTGTTCGTAAGATGTGCAAAATTTATTTAACGTGTCGATAAACAATCCCATCTTCGACGAAAACAAATTCCTTCGATGGCCAATGTGCATCTCGATTCTTTGATCAAATTTTTAAAAATCTTTTACGTGTGTGTTCTTTTCTCAGGCAGCAACTGTTGGCAATACTTGACGAATAAAACAAATCTGTATTTGGATTATATGAAATTTCTTTAGTTGCGTAGATGGTTCTCAAATTTGTCTTGGAATTTAACTGTTTGTGAAATATATAAAATTTACTCAACGTGCTAATAAACATGTTTGACGAAATCAATTTTCTTCGATCGTCAAATAAAATACTTCGAAGAGAAAGTTTCTGGTTGCGAGTGAGGCAAACATTAAAGTGGAAAATTCCGCAGAATGCAGAGTATATACGTGTAAAATATTTAAAAGAAAAATTTCCACAATTATACTCCAAAAAAATACGAAACTGTCCAAAACAGTACGACACAAGCATCTCACATATTTGTCAATTCAACTCACCCTGTTATAAATGGCGATGTCAGGCACTCCAGGGCCGGCGCAGGTGAGCACGTAGTGCGAATGATCCGTGGAAAATTTCGCCGTGTTGTAAAGACACCGGTTCCTATCGGTCTCCCGCACGATACCGCAGCTCAGACACTTGGACTTTCGGTCACCGTCGAGCCTCGTAGATATCCTGTACAAATGTTGCACCGCCGACTCCTCTTCGGTTGTTGCCAAGTAGTAGCTGAACAGAAAAGTCGAGACCGAGAATGGTTAGAGAGGGACGAAGCGAGGAAGAAGAAGAAGAAAAAAAGAAAAAGAAAGAAAGAACGAGCACGAAGCGCAGGAGGATATAATGCTCTTTCATTTGCATAGGCTGCTCTTTAATGGCTTTGTAATCGCGAGAACCGTCGCGAATTTGCATTGCAACGAGCTCCCTCTTTGTTTACCTTGCCGACACGTGGCTAGGAGGAAAAGGATCGAAGAGAGAAAGGGGAAAGTAAGTTCTGAATGTATTCTTTCTCTCTCTCTCTCTCTCTCTCTCTCTGTTTCTGGATTGTGGTGCCTTGGCTTTCGCAGTTCCGCGATTTACTTCGCATTCTTTCGCAGGAAAATCGTCCAACCTCGATATAAATACCGCGCCGACTTGTTCGTTCCCAGTTTGTTGTGCCAGTTACATGGAAGTTGATTAACTTCGGAACGCGCTATGGCCAGTGGATGGATATGCGTTTCGAATCGATTTTGTTACGATGCAAATGTCTAGCGGTAGCGACCAAACGATCGGAGAATTGACAATTTGTAAATTCATCTATTGGCTATTATAAAGCTCGGTGAAGTGGAGGGCCGCGTCGAAATTGGAAAAGGGAATTAATCGAAAACCCACGTAGACTGTAGTAATTTTATGTCGACAGTACGCTCGAATTTCATTCTAGGCTTTCATTCTGTTTCATACGTATCATGGGTACCCACGTGTAATGTCGTTTTCTTCATATTTAATAAACGTTGTCTTGCGTAATATATGTAAGTCATAATTTACTGTAATATAACCTGTAATATATTGTAATATATAACCTGTACTATAACTGTAATATATTGTAATATATAACCTGTAATATAACTGTAATATATTCCATATTAAATATGTAAGCTAACTTAGTTAAGTTAGCAAATTGTTAAATTATATTAGAGAGTAAAATTGTACTAACTCTTAAATAAAATAAAATTTTGTACATTACTTGCAGGCACCCATGATACTTTCGTCTTTGATCTTTAAACAATATTAATAATGTTAATAATATTAATAATACTACTAATAATATTAATAATATTAATAAAGTTGCAGGAAAATGTACGAATTTTTGGTTTGAACTGGTTCAGTGTCCGAACGTTCCAAGTCTCGTAATGACAAATAAATAAAATTTGGAAACGTTGTTAGATTTAACTATCGAAATATCACTTCCAGAGGATCGCATCTGAAGCTTTCAAACAGCCGACAATTCTCCTACTGCGAAGCAACATAATTCTCCTCCTGATTGAAACATTCGGAAAAATCGTTAAACTGTATAATTACGGGAATTGAGTTGTGCTAGTCGCTCATCGAGCAGCAAAGTCAAACGTCTCGTAACTCGTCGTTAGACGAATCGTTTGAACTTAAAACCGAATTAAAACCGGAACAGCGAGCTTCGGTTGCTTGTTCCTGGCCAACAATTTCATGGAACAGGCCCGGAGCATCGGCAGCGAGTTCGAGCTGTGTTTGTTCAATTACCGCGCCGCCGTAGAAATCGCGACGTAAGCTGCCCTCGCGCCGGTAAGTCGACAGACAGGCAGATTCAGATTAGACACGGAGATTAGCCCCAAGTTTTGGGAAAACTGCGGTGTCGGGGGACCGGTATATTTCCTAGGTTCGACCCCCGCTCTTCACCGACTCGGATACTCGGTCGAACGTATACATATAGCTCGAAAGCTCGACCGCTTGGAAATTACTCAGACGTCGTTCTCGCCTTTCCGCTCGTGCGGGCAAATTAGATTGTGGAAAAGGCGTGAGACGCGCGCGGATACGTCGCCAGACACTTCTGTCGCCTCGAACTGCCGCGAGATAAGGAGCATAAATTGAAGCGACCTTTCTCCCAAGACACGGTCCCCACCTTTGATCCGTGCAGTTAGAACACCGTTCTGCAGCTTACGCGAGTCCGAGAAGATGCTGGAAAATCTAGTCCCAGAAATTAGACCCCCGGGAGATTTGGGAAATTTCGAGCATTCTGTTTGAGATTTTCTTTTTTGTTTTGTTGTTAGTTGCGAGGACGTGTTTTTGAAATAATTCGTAAGAAGGATAAGAATGTATAAAATTTGATTATTAGATTTGTTGATTAAAGCAATAGGAGCTTATGTGAGAATATATATATATATATGTACTTTGGATATTTTACATATTTTTTTTCTCATCACGCGCATCCATCAGCAATCTTGCACTTTAAAACCAATTTTCAATTTTTCCATAAATAATGTACGTAAAAGTCTATTTGTACAAAATTTATTTAAACAATTATTTTTTTATGTTTTATATAAAATAAATGTGTAAAAATTATAAATATCTAAAATTTTTTACAACGTGTCTGTAATTTTATAAATTTTTAGTCAATTTATTTTATAAATTTTATCATCAATTTATAATTTTATAAATTTTTATAATCAATTTATCATTTTTGTCAGACACTTTACAGAGACACGTAAAAGCAGCGTATTTTTAAAGACTTAAATAATTTATCATACAAAATATACAAATAGAAGCTAGTAAGGTATTCCAAAGTATTGTATTACATATTTGTATTGTTTTTCTATTTTTTTCGACTTCATTGTTCCTAATGGGAATTTTATGCTTCAATCGTCGATAGTTCCAAAGTGTTAAAAAAGGCGCAACGCACTAGATTTAAAGCGACGAGCGAAGAAGTTTGAGAAGAACAAACAGGTGATCTCGTTCCCGTGGACCGAGACAATAATAAAAAGTTAACTTTATTAACACCGAGGCGTGGATATGAAGGATCGGTGAAATTGAGCGATCGCGGTGATCAATTCCGATTAGACGTTCCCAGATCGGACGTTTGGCTTATGTCGTTCCGAGGAATGGGGGAAAGATTTCCGAGGGTTGAATTTAGAGGCGGATGTTACATAAGTGTTTTCAGGGTGAGGGTCAAGCTTGACAGGCTTTACATTAGACGTTGCGATTCGAAGGCTGTTAAGGTTGATTTATACGTTCCACCGGCGTTGCGAGTGTGTACCGGAAGTTGTAACGCGATCAGACCGCCTGGATCTACTCGCATTAATGCGGATCGATTACTGCTGGTTAATCAATCCGCCAACAGTCTGAGTTACTCCCTTTTTCCACTCCTTTTTTACATTCGCGTCTATCGATTTTCGTCAGTTCGCTTCGATCGACGAAAACAATCGCCGTCGATGTTCTCTCGACTCTTCTCTTCTCAAGTTTATCGAAATTATCCGCGCGATCCTTTTCTCTTTTTTTGTTGTCAAGTAAACTCATAGAGTTACTCAGTTACATAAATTTTGAAAAGAAAAAAAAAAAAAAACAAGTAAAGCTGAAAAACTCGCAAAAGTAAAATTTAAATTTTTAATGAATATTTAAATATTATACACAATCTAACTCTCGATGAATCTATGATTTAACTTACTTTTTCTAATTAACTAAGTGGTTTGGTCGAAATCTGTAAAGTACGTAAATTTTTATCAAAATTGTTGAGCGTTGAATTTGAATAACGAAAGTGCAAAATATATAAAGTAATAAAGATAAGCAGTCTGAAACTGTCCAAAGGATCGATCGACAATCAGCCGTCGTCGAAGGAAAAATTCTCGCAAGACGCGACGTCGCGTAGTTTCGAAAATTCCTACGGAGTTGCGACTGGAAATTCAATCTATTTCAATACGCATCGAGTTCTCGTAGGTACAAACCAGGCAAAGCGACGGTAAATCGATTTTCGATATTCCGACGCGACAACGTTGTCTTTTCCTTTTTTTTTCTCTCTCTCTCTCTCTCTCTCTTTTTTCTTCTCAGCGCTTATCAATATTTGATACGTATACATAAAGCCAAGGGTATTCGGGTTATCGTACAGCGCAGTTTTGTTGCGTCGTTACACGTGGTTTACACGCGTACGTAACGTTAGAAAACGATAACAATCACTTACCGGGTGCCCGGACAGTCACGTAACTAAATAAACCAACGAGACGTGGAACGATCAATTTCGTTTCCCCGAGCATCCCAATTTCGCTCTTGCGTAACTAACAGCAATTTAGTTGATCGGAGACATCTCATTAGAGATCGCAAGTGTTTCATTAACACTTTGAACGTCCGTATACCCGTATGACCGATTGATAAAACGATTGAAAATAAAATAAAATACGTTTAGAGACGAATGCACTCTCAATTTGTTATTAAACTTTTTCAATTCCTTAATTTTAAATACCCAATACGCGTGTACTCGTCTTTAATATTTTATAATATCTATAATATCTATACGCGTCTCTAGTATAGATCTTCTAGCTGGAAAAATCCGCAAAACAAAGTGAGATTTTTGCTAATTTGCTAAACGAAACACGCTCCTGTTTTTTTTCATCTACTATTTTTTAAATGTTGCGTCCAAAAGACTGTCGTATTTAGTATAATCTTTTGAAAATTTCCTTTTTCAATGTAACAGTAAAATAGTAAAATATCGACCAAAATTCCTCCACATTATATTGTTCCATTCCAAAAGTTCATGAATCCGAATCTGACCAACGAAACGCTGTGCTTTACAAGCTCAGTAAAATGTTCTCTAATAAAGCAAGCAAAACAAGAGGATCGTCGTAAAACATCGTCCGATGGACTTCCGTCGCGCGTCGATTTATCGCGTCGAACATTCCATTACGTTTAACGAGTTATAATACGGCGTCCCGAGCAGCAAAAACTAATTTCAACCCCTCCCCGTCGAAACGCGAAACGTGATAAACGGATGCTCGATAACAATTTCGTAGCGATCGTAACGGCCGATCGTAATTTTACTGTTCAAGCTGGTATTCACGGCTCGTGCCTCGATAACCGTAAAAAAAGATCAGCTACGTGGAAAAATGCATAAACTATCGCGTTACGATGCAGTGGCGCCGCCGCCACTGTGCGTTGCATCGTTCCATCTCGTCGTGTTTCTGTCTTTTTTATTTTTTATTTTTTTTTTTTTTTTGCATGATCGATATGACAAATTA